GCCACAACCAACGTAATCTATGGAGGTCGACCATTTGCTCCAGTGGGCGATCGCGATTGCCTAAAACTTTTTACCTGACCTCAGCACTGCCCGTCCACTTACAAAACATCAAATCATAGCGTTGATTCTTCATTGGACTGGTTCTGAAAGAGCTGTCTATCAAATGGTTACCCGGTGTTGCAAAGAAGGTTTTATATATATATATATATATATATATATATATCCCAAGGAATGAAACTTACCANAAGGTTATTGTGTCAAATATATATATATATATATATATATATATATATATCCCAAGGAATGAAACTTACCATGCACACAAAAATCATACGCCGTGCTATGTACCAATTAGAAATTCAATGATTTTATTATTATTATATATATATACCATATTATAGAGGTTCGGTGGCAGGTTGTCTGATTCAGACGCCTTGTGGCGTTTCAGGGCTTGGAGTTCCTTCCGAATCCCCGTTTCTGTTGGCGGTTCCCCCGAATAGTGACCACGGTGCACTCAAGAGAACTACTTGGGTCAGCCAGCACCGGAGGTGCTCGGACCAGCCTTTCAAACGCCCGTGAAAACTGCATATTGGAATGCCGTCCACTTCGCAGTTTGTTTCACTAACACACTCTCTTAAGGCCAGTAGCACAGTTGACTTGGAACAGCATCTGCCTGGCGTTTTCTACACTTTGATGCTGATTCCATCTCGTTTGCATTTAATGCCCGCCCAACGGGCTTCTCAATCTGCGATCAAGCTTCAGGGAAGGTAATAGGAAAAGAAAACCACGTTTAAGCGCTAGCGTGATCGAAACAGAATTTCAGCAATCTTGAGCGGGCGGTTCACCGTTGATGAAGCAGGTGTTGATATCAAGGAAGAAAACAATCGTAATTGTCGTAAAAGAAACGGTGATTCAGGCGGAGAGTCTACTCATGAAAGATTTCAGCCAGACAGTAACGACTAAACATGTTTCTCCAGTCTATGGCAAGTGAAACCAAAGAGAGGCACGAAATAGATTTCCGGTCACGGCCGAAGCGATTATGCAGTCTAAACCGTGCAGTCAGTATAATCTGGTTCGGACGTTTCTCCACGGTCAACTATACCGCACAGGCCGGGATTCCGCTCTATTTTTTTTTTTGTCAATTCACCCACATTTTTCATCCACATAATGATAGTTTTCTTATTCCCCTTCTCATTTCAGACAAATACGAAAAGGGTCTCATTCCGTCCGGTCCAGATCTCGATGAAGAAGGTATATGTGTGTGTGTGTGTCATGGTTGCAGCCACCCATGTGGATTATTTTAGCGTCACCACAAGCGGAGTCTGCACTTCACTAATTTGGCTAATATTTTTGATCACCTTCAGCTACTTGTGAGTAGTAATATAGTATCGGTTTGAATTAGCGATCCATCAGACTTCATCTTCTCGCACAGTTCTCAGTTCATCCAGTCATCTATCCACATTCAAGAGACTCCGAACTTAGATTTCGATTTTGTTGTAGTTCATCAGGTGGGGCATAACCAACAATCAGACGAATTTCAATTTCAAACCCGTCACATGGTAGGTGTATGTTACCACTGTGCAAACCAACTCACATCGGGGATGATCAAAATTGCCCGTTTAAGTTTATTTAGATGTCTTTAACGAAAGCCAGTTAAACTATTTTGAACTATTCAACTATTTGACTGGACTGTTACAAAAGGAGACATAGTTGCCTATCTGGCACCCGCATTCGAAAGCCTCAAACCAGCCGGGGAATTCGGGCAATTTTCTCAGGAATGAATGTGCTAAACTACGTCGTTATTCACCGTTCACTCTCGGTTACTTGTGAGTAGTGGTGTCGGAGAATTGACATTGATGTGGACTGGCCATCCTTCAGAACTCATCTTCGTGCACAGCCNTCAGCTAACAATTACTCCTATAGATGAACTGTTTGTGCATAGTCTGTCCAAATCGGTGTTTTTACACTTCTTAGAGACAGTCGTGTGCAGAAGATACAAAAGGCTAAAACCCTTCCGGTATTCAAACATCACTGTACTCGAACCGGTAGCGAAAATACACTAGTCAAATCAAGTCCAGGACTTGCTTTATATACCTCGAAGGGTGGATATTCAGCCACCGGCAAATGAAACCCCGCAACGCCTAATCCCAAAAGATGCTAATGTGCTATTTAGTAGAACATCGGCCAGCTTGATTCGTGACAAACTTATTTATTAGGGTTCAAATCCTACTCCACAGTCTCATTATCATCATACGGTGAAATACAGGGAAACGAACTTCACTGATCGCTGTCACACTCGCAACTCATATCTATTGGTGTTTGATGGGCAAGCACTGCTAGAACGTCCAGCCACTAAGCAGGATAACGATTAGGGTTCTCGACGAAAGCCTTTAGTTCTGGCAAGAACCTAACCGCAAGGCAGAGGGTGAAGCGAAACGGAAAACCATTTACTTGGATCAATGACTTCTCCACTATTTTTTACCGACTGAAACGCAAATTCTAGTTGAAGCCCCAACCTGGAGGACCAGGAGACACGATTTCATCCTGCCTCTACCTTTCGACCTTCCAGGCATGATTAGATCTTGAGCTTGACAAAAGCCATCCTGTGTAGCTCGTTGGGTCAGAGAGGTGCACAACCCATCACACCACGTCAAAGTGCAGTCTCGTCTGACTTCTTAAAGTTCATAAGATGAAGATTTTAGTGCAGCAGACAACCCGGAACGGACATGAAACTCCGAGGTGTTAGTCCTGAAAGGTCGTCCTTATCACAGGTCTTCTAATCAGCTTCACTACCTAGGAGTTAGTAGTATACAGTGTGCTTGAAGTTGTGCATAGAGATTTTTAACAGAAGACGTAATGTTATTCAGTGGTGTTTACGTAGAACAAAGGACCAAAAACCAAAGATGTTAATTCACATGTCGTATTTATTACTATATAGCTTGAATGTACTTTAATGTGATGAATAACTCGTCGATCCGGGTCGTCTCGTTTTACGATTTTTCTCCTCAATGCTTTTCACAGAAGGGCCTTCATAAACTGGCCGTTTTTTTATTCGGCATCCACAGGGGATTTTATTCATAGATGTGTTGTCGTTGCTAGAGTTATAGGTGAATTTAGTTGATTCCTGTGATGGGCGTGTTAAACCACATCCTCCGGTATATGAGCTTAAATATTGTAGATTGAGCTTATAAACTCGAACCGAACCTGGCGGATAGCCTCTTTATCAACGGTGTATCAAACTCCGTTATCCGCTGACTATTATTAATAAATTTCTTTGTTTTGTCTATTTCTTTCACATAGATGAAATCGAATTTGATAATGCCGATTTTTCTGACGTCTCCAGCGAACCGGATGAACCGCCTGGCTCGGATGATGAGGCAATGTTCTCGGGTAACAATACTTTGCATAGTTGTTTTTATTCCTGTCCTAAAACTGTATTAACGAGAATTGTACACTAATAAACGACGGGGTGGGTGGGCAATGAGTTCACTAGCAATAATAACAACATAAACCAGGAAAACTTGATCCTTGTGTTCGTGTATGGCACACCCAGTGTAAATGTTGAAGCTCACGGTCGCATGGCTTTTTTGTCGAAAAAGTTCTTTTGATTCATTCAAATGCGATGGAAATGTTTGTGATAACCAACAAAGAGCACTTGACGGCTGTTTCGTCCTGTTTGGGACTCGTCAGCAGTGCGTACTTTTGTGTCCTTGTCAGGACTCTAACCGCAATCAGTCGGGTCAGGACTTCAAACCCTTAACCCTGAGCTACACGGCCGATGGTCATCACCTTGTGCTAATGGTTTAATCCAAGCTTGATACTCTAAGCTCTTTTGATTGACCTTACACCTTCCAGACTCATCGTCTTGATTATTCCCATTCTATGTAAGTCACATTTCAAAGAATGAGACATTTAGATCCAGTCGGAGAGGAATTCCTTTCATGTACTCTCATGGGTTGCGTACGGATAACATTAAACAAGATAGACAAATCAACTGATTTAGGAAATGCATAGTCGAGGTTTTAAAATGTGGGTATTTTTTAATTTTTGGTATTACATACCTAACTGTGATGAATAGCAGACGGGACGAACCCCATAGTCACGAGGACATGCTGTTCAGTAGTGGAAACCGGTAACCTAAGCCCCGAGACTTGGGGTGGAGAACTACATAAGGCCCCGATAGATTAGACGGAAACCACCGCGAGATAAGTTTGATCCCGATCGTCACCAAAGTGCTAGCTTCGGTTATACTTCGACGTCTGACGCCTTTAAGAGAGACCAACATCCGTGAACAGCAAGCCGGATTCCGGCCTGG